CTGGCCCACTGACGGGTAGTCCTGGAGAGAGGGATGCCCGGTCAGCCCCACTCGAGACCAGGGATGGGCTTCGAGGCCACCCACTGTCCACTCCCACCCCGGAAGCAGCTGCCCTGGGTGCAGAGGGTGCCCCCGAGGCCCTTCCTGTGCTGCTGGTGGTGCCTTCACTGCAGAAGGTGCACAGGTGACAAAATTATAGGGTGATGGGGAGACCAGTTAGACTGACATGCTTCTCCATCAACACAGTGACTTTCACAGTCATGTGAGTGTGGGCAGCACTGTGAAGGTCTGTACTGGGGGGGCGGTGGTGCAGGATCCCAGACCCTGCCCCCACGGCACCTGCTTTCACCATCTAAGTGTCCTCCATTCTGATAGAGGCCCAGGGACATGAGGGGCCCCTTTCTGCCTACCCAAGTTCATGGATCCCAAATGCTATCTGCCCCCCAGTCTGCAGGCTCCAGGTAGAGGACCCCAAGTTGTACCATCTCTAAAATCCTTTGCAGCCCCCAGAGTTATTTCTCGATGAGACAGCACCATGTCACAGCTGACAAGGACAACCCCCAGGGAAAGAAAGTGGACTTTAGGCCAAACCCGAGAGTTCCTGACCCCTCTGGCCATGTTCTCCTTGTCCCCTGTGGTCCCTCTCCCAGCTGTGCACTGGTAGGTGTGGCGGTCCACAGAGGAGGGATGGGACCTGACTGAGGTGACTCTCAGGAAAGTGGGGGCCATGCTGTAGCCTGGGGATAGTCAATGTGTCTGGCACTTAGCAGGCTGGGAGACTGACCATAAGGCCCTGGTGCATGAGGGAGAGGCTGGGTTCAGCCACCACCCTCCCCTGGCCCGAGGCTGTCTCCAGAGACCCAACTCTGCCACTTGGAACTTCCAGAAATTTCTTCATGGATTTGTTATGTAGGTTGAAAGGTGGTGCTCTGGCTCTGGTGAGGTGGTGACCCTGCCCTTGTCCCCTCCATAAGTGGCCAGTGGCCACAGGACCTTCCTCCCCCTAAGCATCTTGGCCCCTTGTCCTGCCAGGCAGCACCGATGACACAGGGGACGGGGGTGCTCACAAATTCGTTGCTGCT